TGGGGCTTGTGAGGAAGGAGCGAAGAGTGAAACAGACTGAGGTAGTGGGGACTTTCAGAGCCAAGGGACAGCAAAAAAAGGGATTAGTTTTCCTCAAAAGAAATGTAAAAGAAAAACATTGCAAAAAATCCCCCCCCGGGGGAGGTTGTTTAGATCCGTAGGGCCCGGGGGAGGGGGGAAACCGGGGGTGCAGGTGGGACCCCTTTTTGGGGGAGTTTGGAAAACAAAGAATAAAAACAAAGGGGTAGCCCCTTGGAGGGGGGGAAGTTGATACTCCAAAAATAAGGAAAAGTTTGCCCTTTTGAGGAAGGATTTACTTTCTTTTAAAGAGCCCTGGAAAGGCGGGGAGTCGAAGGGGTGAGCCCCCCTTACTAAAAGAAGGGGGTTAAACCTCAAATTTTAAATGGTCGTGGGCACCCAATGGGCATTCCCATAATTGCAATATTTCCCTGGGTGTTTAAAAGCCGAAAACTTGGGGCGGGTAGACCCCTTTTCAAACTTTAACCCCCCCGTGCCTTTTACGGGACACTCTTTCAAAATTAAAACCACTTCGGGTCCCCTCCCCCCCGGGCGGAAGGACATAAGGTCTATTTTGGGGAGGGGGAGATCCGGGAGTTCCCCAGCTTTCAAAAAAGTCATTCCCACATACTGGAAATTCGTTGATATGGTATGGGGAAAGCAGTACCACACAAGAATTGAGAGAAAGATGTTTTTCAATAGTGATAGTAGTAGTATCGATATTCGAAAGGAGAGAAAGATCATGAGCTTGGGTAGCATTCTGGACAGTGACGATGCGCATACGCTCTTGAGAGCATGAAATGAAATATCTCTACCAACATGACGCAGGAGAGCTTGCCAATACTATGGTCAGAAAGGTAGGCAGAAGAAGAAGTCGGTCTTAAAGTAAAGAATTTAGTCCATTGTGTGGTCCGAAACTGAGCGTGGAGAGGGAGTGCTTGAGTGTCGGTCTTTTCCGAGTAGAATGGGAAGGTAATAAAGGAGCATCATCAGGAGATTGACGTTGGCGTTTAGGAGTAGGACCGGAGTTGGTCCGGCGTGAAAATTGCCGTACCGTAGAGGGAGAAGCTGGAAGCATAGTCAAAGGAGAGCGGAAGTTCAGACAAATCGAAGGAGTCAGTCGAAGCCCCGGTACTGAAGCGGGTGAGGAAACAGCACCAGCAAGAGGTACAGGGGCATCAGGAGTGTCCGAAGAGTGATCTAAACACAAGGCAGGGTCAGAATGGGTCGGTATCAAGAAGGGGCCCGGGGTAGTGGTTCATGGACTAGGGCTGCCATGGTTAGGTTACCCCTTTGCTTTTTGTTTTTAGAAAAAAAAAAAGAAAGAAGAAAAGAAAATAAAAATAAAAAAAGAATAAAAAAGGGGAAGCGGGGAGGAATAGTTCCCAGGAGAATGAAGGGCCGGAAATCTCCCTCCGCGCCCAAGAGGACCTCAACACGCTAGTAGCGCAGATGCAGCTGGAAACCCGTGCCATACCCTACCCTTCATGCCAGTAAACCAGCAATCCGGATAGCAACCTCACATAGCCAAGCTACCTCGGTGGACAAAAGAGAGGGCGGCCGATATCCGCCACAAAGCATAACCTCCTTCGGCCACCACCCCCGAATCCGAAAGGTGGCTTCCAGAGATACACCCGTCGCCGAAAGACACCCAAAGCTACTCCGGGATACCGGAGAGGGATCGGGACATCCCAGGCAATCCCCGATTCCACGGCAAACTACGCCCACCGCCAAAACTCAACGGAATGGATGACCCCGGTACCTTTCCCTCCTAGGAACTAGCGCGCCCTGTGGGGAAATCCCAAAGGCCCAAAGGGAAGGGCCCAAAGGGGGGGGTGGGGAGGAGGGAGGGGGAATGGAAAAAAAGGGGGGAGGATGGGGGGGGGGAATGGGGGGTAATTAGGTTCGGGCTGAGGAAGAAGACCGACGGGCTAATTCCTAGCCAAAGGGCCCCTTCACCACGCCAAGGAGCCCCCCCTTTAAAGGTCCGGATAAAGCAAGGTTTAAAATTTTGAAATGATCAGAAAAAGCATTTCAAGGTTCGCCAAAATGTTGGGGAAAAAAAAAATAGTACACTTTGCAAGAAAAACCCAATTTTTTGCCTTATATGCCCCGGTTACTTTTAATGGAACCTCAAAAATCAAACTGCTCCCAACACAACCAATTATGTAAGTGTATTTTTGTAAGTGCTTTTATAAGTGTATTTTTGAGGGTCTGAAATGGACTAATCTAATTTACATTATTCCTGATGGGAATAAATTCATTTGGTAAAGGCACTCGAACAGCCTTCTGGACCGAAGAAAGTTTGATATTTGAGGTTCCGCTGTATTTCAGTGTACCTGCATCTTAACTGGATAAGAGGATGTCTGATAACTGAAAAAGTTATCAGATATCCCCTGCAAGGGGATATTTATTGCAGCTGTCAAAACTTGAGAACAATCTGAAAGACCTGAAGCCTTGGTCAAATTTTATTGACCAATGTGCAATATTGGTTTGTGTGATTGATACTTACCTGGCACAGGAGGTACCTAGAGAATGCATTTTGTAATTAACTTCAAACTTTCAGTGCTGGTATATGTAAGAGAGGCTTAGATTCTTATTGAGTTGGATAGGTGCCAATTTCTTTTGTATTAATGAAAAATTTATGGGCTAATTACCAAGAATGATTAGTCATGGGTTAGGCCATCCCAGAATTCAAACAGACCAAGTAAAAGCCCATAAAACAGACCAGGCCTTTTCCTTAGGAAAATCATTACTACTGGTCTAAAACCAACCAAAATTATCCCCAACAGCATATCTTCGGGTCTACCAGCTGACACCAAGAAACAGCCAATAAAACATTAAAAACACCCTAGATACCTCAAATCACTATTTTAACCCTACCACAAAGTCAAAGGTTACCTGGTACCATCATGCACTATGTTGTGCAGGATTTTTTTTTTTTGACCCTGTACAACCCTCTGCACAGACCCACTCTTTCATAACTAGGCCAAAATTTTCTGTTCACTAAAGTATATATACATGGGAGACAATGAAAGGATCAAGAATCCCCATTGTATGCTGATTACCTTCATGGTGAAAAGGGAGGGGGGAGGAAAAAAAAACAATCTCATATTACACCTGGGAATATGGGAGGCAATAAGGTTTGATTCCATGAAGGGGAGATCAGGTACAATATCAGGGATCAAGAGCCTTGGACATCAGGGAACCTAATCTTCCTAAAGGGGTTTAATGCTGATGCATCTAACCAAGAGAAAGGTTGCTAGCTTTAAGCTGTTTAAGTGTAAATTTGCCATTTTTTTTATTGTACTGTCCATCAAACTCCAGTAACTACACACTTGTGCAGATACTAAGAAAAGCAAGACACTACAAGAAAAAAAAGCTTTCCTTTTACCAGCATAAAAATTCTGTATTCTTACTAATTTATCAACATTTGAAGCATGTTACCAAAATAGTTATGTGGTTGAATACCTTCATGAAGATATTTGCCATGCATTTTATCTACTGAAAAATATGTACTAGAAAATACTACAATAAATTTTCAGTGAAATATAGGAAAGGATGGAGGGAGGGGTAAAAGAGGCTTTGTGTGCAAGGGGCCTGGACATTCAGAAGGCCTGCACGAGTGTGTTAGGAGTGAATGGAGACGAATGGTCTTTGGGACTTGACGAGCTGTTTGAGTGTGAGCAGGGTAATACTTTGTGAAGGGATTCAGGGAAACCAGTTAGCCGGGCTCGAATCTTGGAGGTGGGAAAGTATAATGCCCATTGCCCACAATTTAACCCTTTGACTGTTTCAGGCCCCTCTCTGAAACTGTCATTCTATGTCGCTCAATTTAAAAAAAAAAAAAAAAAAAATTTCTTATGAAATGATAGAGAATCTTTTCCCGATGGTAATGACACCAAAAGTTCGAAATTTGGTCGAAAACTCATGGAATTATGCTCCCACGAAGTTAGCGGTCTCGGCGACATATGCGTATCGGCGATTTCGCCGACTTTGAGCCCTATTTTCAGCCAATTCCATTGTTCCAGTTGACCAAACTCATAGCTATTTCTTTAGAACTCCATTTTATCTATCAGCGGAGTGCAAGAAACCTCCCATTTACTAATTTGGACTACCCAATATGGTGGTCAGAAATTGGCAATTTGGCCATTTCACGCAAACTAAAAAGATGCCAATTTCAAAATAGGGTCCAGAATAAACAAGGTAGACATTCGTGGCACTAAAATAACATGCTCTGTTCATTAGTCACATCTCTAGGCCCTCTTATATTATTATTGCTTTCTATTTTGATTTTTATTCATACAAAAAAAATTACAAAATTTACTGTTATGCAGACTACTGCATTATTGTAAAAATGGTATAAATAATATCAGTGCACTAGTGAAAGAATATTAGACTCCCCAGTTGACGTGTATTGGACGTGTGGTGTGATTATTTACTCCTGAACATTGGTAAAAAATCGAACATTTCCGCTACTTTGAGCTCAGTTTCAAGGTCGTTTTCATCGTCAAAGTAATGAAAAGCATCTCTATTTCTGTAATATGTTCCATTTTATCACCTAAGACCATGAAAACGCGAATACAACAATAAATACTATACGAAAATACACCTCAAAGTCGGCGTTTTATTCCAAAAAAACGATCAGTTTTTTTTTCTCATTACGCAATGTGTGCTGCAGGATTTTTTTTATGTGGTGCACACTGACCACACAGACCCATTCTCTCACATGTGGGCCTACCAGCTTTCTCCCGCTTGATTTGAAGCCGCTAAAATTATTGAGTATATATACGTCAGAAACATTGGCTCGTAAGACGTATTTATACGTCGAAAACAGTCAAAGGGTTAAAGAAGGGGTTTGAGATATTGACTGGGCACCTCTGCAAAGACAGTGATTGTGTGTGAATGATGGTGAAAGCATTTCTTTTTAGGTCACTGCCTCGGTGGGAAATGACCAGCATGTTGAAAAAAGGGATATTTAAACAAATTTTTTACAATTCTGTTTAATACAAACACTGACATATAAATTATCACAAAATTCTGGTAGTACAACTTCCATATTTTCATCTTACTGTATATTAATGATGTTCATCTCGTGTCTCTAAATTTAGTCTGCAATAACAATTAGGAGTTACGTGAACATTTTCCATATGATTTAATAAATAAAACTCAGTACAATAAAATAATTACCTCTACAATTCTAACTATCTTGCCTTAAGTGTCAAAATCAGGGTTTTTCTTGAGAATGACAAAGCCTTCCATGATTGGTGTTAATGGTATATATTCATCTGTAGCAAGCTCTGCACGTTCTCCATGTGATAAGAGAACAGGAGTCGTGTGTGTCTGGAACCCAGTGATGGTCTTCGGCTTGCCTGCCTGGCCAACAACATCAACGGCCTGTAACCATTTAACAGTTATTCAGTTCATTTTAATTACACAAATATGAAGCATTTCTGTTAGTACATACTGTATACCATTTCCTCTATTTGACTAATACCACCTTTAACTATATCATATAGCCTATCCTCACTTAGAGACGTACTCGTTTACCGATGACTTGGACTTATGACGGGCTCTCTGACGAGAATTTATACTTAAATAATGCATATTAAAGCTGATTTCCTCTATTCCGTTTATCACAATATACAGTACACTACTGTATAAATATTTAAAAATATACTAAAAATGTTATAAATGGTGCAAGGGTGGCAGTAAAGCAACATCAAAGATTGTTGAAATAAACCCACTACCATTATAGTATGCTCCTCGTTTAGCAACACAGTATTGGGAACAGAACTCCATCATTAAATGAGGAGAGGCTGTACTACCTTTTTATTACTACAAGAGAGCCCTGCTGCATGGCTCTTAGGTTCCTGACCCCATACAATAAGTAAAAATTGCCAGTGGTTGGAAAAGAGCATTTTCTCAATTGAAAGCATCTAAAATGCCTGATAACGTGTTTACACTATGTTATATTAAGTGCTCAATGCGGGTAGGCACAAAAATCATAAAATAAATACACAGTACAATACAGTGGAACATCGTTTTTCAGCCGTAATCTGTTCCAGAAGGTCGACCTAAATTCAAAATGGCCTAATTTCGAAGCAATATTTCCCACAAGAATCAATGTAAATACAATTAAAGGAGGTGTTGTGGGCGAGGGGTTTGGACACTCAGCAAGCGTGCGTGAGCGTGTTAGATAGGACTGAATGGAGACGAATGGTATTTGGGACCTGACGAGCTGTTGGAGTGTGAGCAGGGTAATATTTAGTGAAGGGATTCAGGGAAACCGGTTATTTTATATAACTGAACTTGAGTCCTGGAAATGGGAAGTACAATGCCTGCACTCTAAAGGAGGAGTTTGAGATATTGGAAGTTTGGAGGGATATAGTGTGTATTCTTATACACATATACTTCTAAACTGTTGTATCTGGGCACCTCTGCAAAAACAGTGATTATGTGTGAGTGAGGTGAAAGTGTTGAATGATGATGAAAGTATTTTCTTTTCGGGATTTCTTTCTTTTTGGGTCACCCTGCCTCAGAGGGAGAAGGCCGACTTTTGGAAAAAAAAAAAAAAAAATAATAATGTGTTCCAGACACCCAAAAATATTAAAAAAAAAAAAAATACATTTTTTAAAGATTAATTATAGTTTTCCATACACAAAGCAATGAGAACTAAATTAAATAAATGGACATTTAAATCACTATTACATACCATTATTGAAGACTTGTTGGCTTATGGAGAGAGGGAGGAATGATTGTTTGGAGGGGAATCCCCCTCCATAAGGACTTCAGGTATCAAAGCCCTCTCTGGGGTTACTTCCCTGCCTGCCTGTTACACTCCCTGCCTCCCTTCCACACACTCTCCTACACTCCCTGCATGCCTGCTACACTCCATCCCTCCCTGCCTCCCTCCCACATGCCCTGTTTCCCTGCATGCCTGCTACACTTCCTCCATGCTATACTCCCTGCCTCCCTGCTACACTCCCTGCTTGCCTGCTACACTACCTGCTCCCCTCCACACTCCTTGTTTCCATGCTACACTCCCTGCATGCCTGCTACACTCCCTCCCTCCATGCTATACTCTGCATGCCTGCTACACTCCCTGACCATGGTGGCTTATTTCACAGTCACGCTTAATAAACAAGCCACATCAGCTTCCTTGATTTGTTCTTTCTTTGCCAGGATAGAAATGATTGTTGATTTGTTTTTGTCATACATCCTGGCAAGTTCCAGCACCCGAAATTTGCACCACTCATTTTTTTTTATTACTTCCTTCTTAAATTCCATCATGTTTCTCACTTTCTTTACCAAAGGAACTTTACTAGGAACTTTCTTGGAGCCCATGGTGGCTTATTTCACAGTCACACTTAATAAAAAAACACCAAAAACAATGGATTTTAAGGAAATGTTTGGATGAATGCGCAGAGTATATGCTCACTTCGCCCAACAGACAAAGGGAGACTGACTCACCTACGGGCTGACGTGTCTAATACAGCCGATATACAAGGTAATGGCCAAAATACAGAGGAAAATTTACGCCAAAAAAACAGCCTAAACACAAATTGGCCAATAAACGCAGCAGCCAAAAAACAAGGTTCCACTGTACTTAGCTTAAAATAAGGTGCTGGTTGCCCTTCCCTTATGCAACTGTTGGATGAAAAAGGCAGAAAAGCGGTGAAAACACCGAACATGAACAATGGCTCAATTGAAAGCCAATGAAAACATGGAACACCAAAAAGAGGGTGCTATATGTGGGGTCCTCCTGTACCTCTAACTACATAATACTAATATTTAAGGTATGAAATTATTCTTGACAAGAGATTTTTTTTTATAAATCACTGTTGCTGCAAAATGCTGAATAGGCATGAAACATCTTTGAATGTTACAGTAAAGACATCAGAGGCAGTGGGAATATGGTAAAACAAAGCTACTTAGACCAACACTTCACTGGACAACTTTGTTTTAATAAATACTTGCTTCGAGATCTTTCTACTACCCACTTGTTGGCATTCTGTCTTCCAGCCAGGTAGGGAAAAATGTCATGACAAGATCAATTGGTGGTATGTTCATAAGAAAGGAGGAACACTGCAGTAAGCCTGTTGGCCCATACTAGGCAGGTTCATGATACAGATATTATGGAATGAAGTAATTAGATTTCATTATCATGGGGAAGTGCTAAACCTGTAAGGATTATACAGCACCTGTGGATGGACAGGGGATGATAGAAGGCATTCAGGCTCAATTCAGAATACTGGAGCACAGTTCCAATTCCCTAGGTCAAGAGCACCTCACCAGCATCAAAGAACTGCCCTTGAGGGGATGAAGTAATTAAAAGGTGGTATGAAAGGCATATGTAATTCACAAAACAGGGGAGGGGTTGTTGAAAACATTCAAGATAGAGTAAGGATGTGTATAACTGGGGTGTACAGGTGACATAATTACTATTGAAAAGTTTATAAAGATTTTGCAGCAAGCACTTACCTGACCAACTCTGACAGACACAGGAAGAGGATTGAGCTGCTCATCAAAGGTAACTAGCATTCGTGGTTGGATGGCTGTGGTGAGACTATACAGAAGGTAGTGACTCTTCCCTAGAATCACTGATAAAGAAAAATGTCATTAGCTACAGGGGTTAGCTTTTGTTACTAATATACTGTATATTTATTCAAGCAGTTTTTATTAGTAAAATTAATTCCCACCTAGTATTTTTATATTAAATACTCACAGGTTTTAGCATCAAGGAATGCCACACATGTTGCTAGAAGACCTGCCACAGCAACTGGCGACATAAGCTGTCGATTACTATGGTATGGGGAGAGCGTCATTGTGCCCTTGCCAAGATGAGTTAGTCCCTGAGCCAGACGAACCATGAAAAGGTTGTTTGGATCTTTAGCATGATACTGGGCAAGTTGACGCAACATGGCAGCCAATCTGCAAATACCAAATGCATGTATAAAAACAGGCAAAAATATCACTTTTAATGCCAGTATTAAAAATATAAAAAGATGAATATAAATTACAGTGGCTAACAGATTACAACTTATACAAACTGACCTCATTATAACACTTTACTGTGTGGTTTAGGCATGCAGAGAGGATGGAGAGGGATAGAATGAAGAGGTCATATCAATCTAAGGTGGAAAGTGGGAAACTGGTTAGGTTGATTTGAGTCCTGAAGGTGGTAAGTATGTTGGCTGCACCTTGAAGGAGGGGTGATGTTACAGTTCAGAGGATAATTTGAATTGCAATGTCTGTGCACTTTTGCAAAGACAGCTATATAATGATGGTGGTTACTTTTTAACCTCACCCTACAATGGCAGTAGAGACCAATGTGGAAAAATTAATAAAAAAGTATTTATCACTCCAACTGAAAGGTCAAGACTTGTTTATAAAAAGTGAAACCTATGATATGGCACAGGGATACATATAATAATTCAGGGAAACCGATTATTTTTTAATAGCCGGACTCGAGTACTGGAAATGGGAAGTACAATGCCTGCACTTTAAAGGAGGGGTTTGGGATATTGGCAGTTTGGAAGGATATGTTATCTTTATATATGCTTCTAAACTGTTTTATCTGGGTACCTCTGCAAAAACAGTGATTATGTATGAGTAAGGTGAAAGTGTTGAATGATGATGAAAGTATTTTCTTTTGGGGGACTTTTCTTTCTTTCTGGGTCACCCTGCCTCAATGGGAGACGGCCGACTTGTCGGGAAAAAAAAAAAAATATAACTGAAGAATATTAGCTGTCTCCCAAGGCAGGGTGACAAATAACAGGAAGGGGTGAACATTTGCCATCATCTATTCAATAGCCATCTTGCCAGAAATGAATGCCCAGACATCACAGTTCAAATAACCTAAACATCCCCATCCTTCTTTCAGAATATAGGCACTGTACCTTCCCACTTCCAGAAAGGTACATTTATGAATTCATTCCAGGAATGAATTCATAAATGTTACCATGCTCACACTCCAGCATCACATCAAATACCTAAAACCAACTGCTTCCAACCACCCCAACTTAATATGCTCAAATCTGCCAATTTGATGCTTAAGCCCCTTCCATTTTAAAATGTCCTTCACATCCTCAACTTCAACCTTCCTGGAATAAACTCTTCACAAACCACTTCAAAGACTCCACCTACCATTTTTTTATCCTTCATTTATTCTATATGGTTCACCTCTTTTTCCATAGCCTTTACATAAATGACCCGCACATAGAGAGCTTAAAATGATGTTTCGGTCCGACTTGGACCATTTACAAAGTCACACTGGTCCAAGTCAGACCGAAACGTCATTGTAAGCTCCTCTCTTCTAAGTGCAGGTTATTTGTGTATTGTTCTGGTTACAGTATTGTGTCTTTTTTTGTTATTCATAGCCTAAACTGCCAACATACCTACTCCCAAGTATCATTCACTTCTGCCACAATCCCTCCAATCCAATATTAAATTTTCATTGCTGAATTTTTTTGTTACTCTAATCACCTTGCCAAAGGCCTGCTTTTACTGAACAATGGTTCCCATTTTATCAACATACAAGATACAGTACGAGAACACCACTGTACATCAGTCAAAAGTACTACTACTTACCGCAAACTTGCACAGGTAATCAAATCAATAACTTTATAAAATATACCAAGGATCACCTGGCAATTAAAAAAAAATTACCTGGCATTGTTAGTACCAGCTCCAACCAAGCCCATGGCAAAATTGCATTATGAGCCACATCTGCATCAGAGTCATGAGAAAATTTGCTTAATGTATCCAGTATGTTAAGTCTTGGATTAGATACAGAAATGAGACCCAATGCTAGAGGTACAGCTCGTCTGATTACTGGCTCACAGTAGCGTAGTAAATTGCCAAATTGACGGAACGACATCTCGGCTCCAATGTCCTCACCCATTGATATGAGTGCAATACCTGCAATGAGCAAATGCTAAATTTAAAACTATGAAAGTAAGAGTTCAATAATTAATGAAAACTGTGGAACTCCCTTAAAAAAAAAAATTGGCAGAAAAAGTATAGGAACAGTAGTATCCAACTAAAGCTGCAATACCTACAAAGCAATATTAGTGCAATATTCGAGACATCATCATACGAGAAACAAACAAATATAGCAATGCACTTACATAAGATATAGTTTGAGGAAGATATATCACCTTGGAGATGGGCCAGGATAATTTTGTATTCCACTATCTACAACCTTAGTGTATTATAGTATTAACCCTTTTGGGGACGGTCCCGTAATACTACGCCAAAATTCTAGCGGCTTCCAATCTTGCAGGAGAAAGCTGGTAGGACTACATATGAGAAGATGGGTCTGCAGAGTCAGTGTGTGCAGTATAAAAAAAAAATCCTGCAGCACACAGTGCATGAGGAAAAAAACAATTGTGTTTTGGTGCAAAACAGCGACTGTACGGTGTATTTTTGTATGGTTTTTGTGGTTGTATTCTGTTTCTTGATCTCATTTGATAGAATGGAAGATGTATTACAGAAATAGAGATGATTCTGAATGGTTTACAGACTAAAAGAAGCTCAAAATTGAGCTCAAAGTAGCAGAAATGTTAGATTTTTGACGATGTTCAAGAGTAAACAAATCACGTCACGCGTCCAATACATGTCAAATGCCTGGTCTAATATGCACTCAAGAATCAACTGACATTATTTGTACAACTATTACCATTATGCAGTAGTTTGAATAACAGTAAATCTTCTATTTTTTGTGAATAAAAATTAAAAATGAAAAAGCAAGCATAATACAAGAAGGGCCTGGAGATGTGACTAATGAACAGAGAAAATGTTATTTTAGTGCCAGAAATGTCTACACTATTTATTCTGGACCCTATTTTGAAATTGGCCTTTCTTAAATTTTGTGTGAAATTGGCCAAATTAGTAATTTCTGATCACTTTAACGGGTAATTAAAATAGGTAAATAGGCAATTTCTTGTCTCAATAGAATAAAAGGAGTTCTAGATAAACAGCTATGAGTTTGGTCGACTGAAACAATGGAATTGGCCCGAAAGAGCTCAAAGTGGGCAAAATCGCCGATGCATAAATATCATTGAGACCGCTAACTTTGTGAGAGCATAATTCCATAAGTTTTCCATCAAAATTCATGCTTTTGGTTTCATTACCTTCGGACAAAGATTCTCTTATCATTTCATGTAAGAATTTTTTTTTTAAATTCTTTGACCCTAGGAGCAAGTTTGCGAGCAGGGTCTCGACTCTCAAAGGTTAAATAATGCATCTAAGTATGTAATTTGCCAATACTGAAATATTCTTTTCACACAGTCTTATTGGTAATAATGATGGAAAGCAAAGGAATAAATTATAGTAAGCACCAAATACAAGGATGTTTATTTGCACATACTAAACCTGAGGGGTTTGGGATATTGGCAGTTTGGAGGGATATGTTGTGTATCTTTATATGTGTATGCTTCTAAACTGTGTATTCTGAGCACCTCTGCAAAAACAGTGATAATGTGCGAGTGTGGTGAAAGTGTTGAATGATGAAAGTATTTTCTTTTTTGGGGATTTTCTTTCTTTTTTGGGTCACCCTGCCTCGGTGGGAGACGGCCGACTTGTTGAAGAAGAAGAAGAAAGAAAGAAAGAAAGAAAGAAAGAAAAAAAAAAAAAAAAAAAAAAAAAAAAAAAAAAAAAAAAAAAAAAAAAAAAAAAAAAAAAACACCCCTGAGTTGTGTAAAAAAATGTAATTAACTGAATCTGTTCAAAAATGGTGAAGGCATATAAAAACTGGAAAGGGATTTGATAATAGTACACCTCTGTGCTGGTGTGGGTGTTTTTTTTTTTTTTTTTTTTTTTTTTTAAGTAAATGATCAAATGCAAAGATTATGATCAAAAAGCAGTATTAATGAATAGACAACTCCATGCTATGAAATGGGGTTCTCAGGGTGGCACAACTTTCTTTTTCTCCATACTAGTAATGTGTCTTGTGCATATTTCTATATTACTGATTTCTTTGAATGCAATAGTTTTTCTTACTTTAAAGGGGGTTGATTCAAAAAACAAAGACATGCCAAGTTAATTTTGCTAAGCTCCCCACAATGGTCTCTTTTCGAAGAGAAGACCTGCTAAAACGTGCAGAAATGGAATTTTTAATAATAGTGGTGTTTGACATTTTTTTGGGGTCCCTGTTCATTTTTTTTTTTCCAATCGCCGTCTCCCCCCGAGCAGGGTGACCCCAAAAAAAAAAAGAAAATCCCCAAAAAAAAATACTTTCATCATCATTCAACATTTTTTCAACCACACCACACATTATCACTGCTTTTTGCAGAGGTGCTCGAATACAAACTAGAACATTACGTATAAAATACCAACATATCCCTGCAAACTCCCAATACCCAAACCCCTCCTTTAAAGTGAGGCATTGTACTTCCCATTTCCGGGACTCAGTCCGACTATAAAAAAAAAACCGGGTTTCCCCCCCCAAATCCCTTCACTAAATTATTACCCGCCACACCCCAACAGATCTTTAGGTCCCAAGTATCATTCGCCTCCTTTCACTCCCAAAAAACACGCTCGCCCTTCCCGGGAAGTCCAACCTCTACCCCCAAAAAAACCCCTTTACCCCCCTTTTTTTTCCAACCCTTTCGGGGATGACCCCTACCCCCCTTTTTCCTTTCCCCCCTAAGATTTATATTTTTTAGTATTCTATTTTGATCCATTCTCTCTAAAGACCAAACCACCTAAACAACCCCCTTCTCCCCCTCGACTAATGCTTTTATTAACTCCAAAACCTTCCCTAATTTCCACACTCCGAATTTCTGCAAAATTTTTACACCACACATTGCCCTTAGACAGGATATCTCCACTGCCTCCAACCGTCCCCGCTCTGCATTTACCACCCAAGCTTCACACCATAAAAGTGTTGGTACTACTATACTTTCATACATTTCCTTCTTTGCCTCCAAGATAAATTTTTTGACTCCAATATACCTCAACGCAAAAACCCCCTTTTTTTTTCCCCCATCAATTTTATGATTAACCCATCCTTCATAAATTTCCCTCTGCCGACACGTCAACCCCAAGTATCAAAACTTCACTTCTTTCCCTACTCCTCCCCCAATTTTATATCCATTTTTTTTTTATCTAAATCATTTGTACCCTCATCACCATCTTTTTCTATTTCACTTTCAAATTTCTACCTTTACACACATTCTCAAAAATCACCACTAACCTTTGCAATTTTTTTTTTCATGAATATTAGTGAAAAATACAGTATAATCAAGTTCTATTTACATTTAAATTTTCACAGCCTAAAAAAAATCATGATGTGACAATTTTTCCAGATTGCTTTTTGGAAACTTCACTGCTGACAGTTTTTTTTTCAATGCTTTTATTTGTGTTTGAATTTTGGAAATTGTTCACCACAATGATAACAATGAGCAATGTTTGCAAGCTGAAGAGGCACCGCTTGATCTTCATATTTTTGACGGTATACGCACTTTGGGCTGAATAGGTCACTCATACTCACAACTATAAAAATATGCACAACACAAAAAAACAAGGATAAAATTAACGATAAAAAAAAAATCAATGCATATGAAAACTAACACATCAAAGTAAAATAAGCACAACAATTAAAAACCCCCATTAATTAAAGCCCAAAAAAACTCTTAAATTCTCCAAGGCCCAGAAACACCCAATAATTAAAAAACCATGATGGGTTAACCACAGAATTTTAGAAGGAAAAAAGGAGAGTGGGCTTGAGGTATCTGGAGACAAAAAGAAGTTATCCATGGGGGAAAAGGGAAGGGAATGCATGAAAGTATAGTGGTACCAACACTCTTATATGGCGTGAAGCTTAGGTGTAAATGATGCACGAGGAGGCGGCTGGAGGCAGTGAAAATGTCATGTCTAAGGGCAATGAGAATTCGGGAGAATTAAGAGTGTGAATTAAAAGAGGTGTGGATTAACTAAAACTATTAAGGGCTGAAGAGGGGTTGTTGGGGTGGTTTGGTCATTTAGAAAAAAATGGAACAAAGTAAATGACTTGGAGAGAGTATAAATCTGTAGGGGAAGGAAGGTGGGGTAGGAATAGTCCTTGAAAAGGTTGGAGAAAGGGGGTAAAGGAGGTTTTGTGGGTGAGGGGCTTGGACTTCCAGTAAGCATGTGTGAACATTTTAGATAGGAGTGAATGGAGACAAATGGCTTTTGGGACCTGACGAGCTGTTGGAGTGTGACCAGGGTAATATTTTGTGAAAGGATTCAGGGAAACCAGTTAGCCGGACCTGAGTCCTAGAAATGGAGAGTACAATGCACTTTAAAGGAGGGGTTTTTGATACTGGGAGTTCGGAGGGACTTCTAAACTGTCGTATCTGAGTGCCTCTGCAAAGACAGTAATTATATTTGAATGATGGTAAAAGTGTAGAATGATGATGAAAGTATTTTCTTTTTGGGTCATCCTACCTCAGTGGGAAAAAGCTGGCGTTAAAAAAAAAAATAAATAATCTAGTTGTCTTATCAAAGTGTCAGAAAGAATAAAGTTTTCTATAGTTCAACACCTAAGAAAATGTGTACACAACAGTATTACTGGGGGTAACTAGAAAATTATTCCTTTTGTATGCCTTCACTCACATCATCATTCCTTCTAAAAATGGTGTGTTACATGAGAATGGGAGTGTTGCTCTTTATTCTACTGCACCAACTGTGGAGACAACTTGTACACAACGTAAGATTTTTTTTTTTTTTAACAAGTCGGTCGTCTCCCACCGAGGCAGTGACACCCAAAAAGAAAGAAAATCCCCAAAAAGAAAATACTTTCATCATCATTCAACACTTTCACCTCACTCACACACAATCACTGTTTTTGCAGAGATGCTCAGAACACAACAGTTTAGAAGCAAATACGTATAAAGATACACAATATATCCCTCCAAACTGCTAATATCCCAAACCCCTCCTTTAGAGCGCAGGCATTGTACTTCCCATTTTCAAGACTCAAGTCCGGCTATATAAAAATAACCGGTTTCCCTGAATCCCTTCACTAAATATTACCCTGCTCACGCTCCAACAGATCGTCAGGTCCCAAGTACCATTCGTCTCCATTCACTCCTAACAAACACGCTCATGCACGCCTGCTGGATGTTTGTATTATGGTATAAACTTCACCCCAATGGAAATAAGTCTTGATTTTTTTTGGGTTATCCTAGGTAACCTACACATATGCTTCTATGCATGATAATCTATGTAACTTTATTTGTGTGTACCTGTACAGCAGGGCCCCACTTATACAGCAGGTTAGGTTCCAGGCTACCGCCATAAAGCGGAAACCGCCGTAAAGTGGAACACCCTTTTTTTCCACTTATAAATGCATACAAACACTAGATAACAAGTTTAAACTAACATATATTAAGTTAGCAATAGAACCAGGCAGCAAAAAACAATAAAAAAGTACAATACACACATAGTGCACTCATTACTTACCTTAAAATATTTATAGTTTTAATCTAGGGTGAACAATAGTATTTTTTTAAAAATCAGTGGGTATGTATGGCATCAGCCAGGTACATCCACCACCCCACCCACACATACTACTATGATTTTAGGCATCCCAAGCAAAAAAATTTAATACATTTCACTCATTACTTCCCTTTAAAATATAGGGGAGATATTAAAAATTTTTTGTAAAAATCAAGGTGGATTATGGTAGTCAGCCAGCTCCCAAAAACCCCCCCCCCACCCACAATACTTTTCTATAATTTAAGCTTTCCCAAGCAATAAAAATGTATTACTTTCACTCATTACTTACCTTAAAATATTTTAGCCCTTAAGGGGCAGGAGTAAAAAAAATGAAAAAAAACAAAAAAGAAGAGAAAGAATGAGTGCATGAGAAACAGGCCAGATTATGAAAAAAAACCAGGCAAGGTAATTTTGTAAACAAAGTGAAACCTCGGTTTTGTGTCAATTACATTGTGTCAGTGTCTCTACATTGATACGGTAAATAAATAAAGAACACCCCCCATTCTCATTAACTCTTTTGAAAAAATGTTTGCTCTGAGTGAAGTAAGGGAAAAAAGTTTTTTGGGTTATCCGGGGGTTCTCAAACACATAGTTTTTATTATGATTATTTTGTAACGTATTTTTTTAACCTGAATAAACTTACAAAAAAAAAACAAAAGGGAAAATTTTCTACAGTTACCCGCAGTAACACATTTTCCCTTATTTAGATTAGAGAAAATGTCATTCTTTTGCCGTCATTTTACAAGTTTCTGGCTACCCCCATCTCTATTTAGTTATTTTTTTCTTTGTGGGGTGTATTTATCATCTTTTTTTTTTTATGTACGGTTTAAATTATATTTTTGAAAAAAATATCATGGATGGTTTTAAGAAAATTGTATATTAAACGAATAAATGAATTTAAGAGACTCGGTGATTTTTATTATTATTTTTACATTTCTAAATGGCGTCACTTGTGCAAGTCGTCTGCTACCACATCTCACATTTATGTTTTTTTATTCCGTGGGGTGATTTATTTATTTTTAAAATGTTTCATCGTGTTTTTTATAAATTTGAAAAAATATCATAGATGGATAAAAGAAAAAAGTTATATTTAAAGTAATAAAGACATTTAAATGAACTCATGATTATATTATCATTTCAATATACGTCGGAGACAAAAACACTCTACTGATTTTAATTTTACCTGACCCACCATGTAGTAAGTTTATTTTAAATACAGTATACATAAGTATAATTATCAAGTATATATAAAATTGAAAAAAACTTTTAAAAACATTTGAAATTTTTTAGTTTCCAGACAAAAGGAGAACAGTGCTTACTGACTCCCCCAAGAAGTAAAAAAACAAGGGGGGGCGCGGGGACCGGATTAAAAGTCAGGTGGGGGGACCTATAGGGCGTTTTTGGTCATAATTTAATGACCCTTTAGCGGGAACGCCGTAAAGTGAAACGCCGTAAAGCGGGGCCCTGCTGTATATGAAAAAAAAAAAAATGGAAATAAACGTGTATGAACCATGACCAGACGTGTTCGTCTGCTTGTTTGCATTCTTCACGTCTCTGTCATCTCTCACTTATTCTCTCTTGTTTATTCATTTCATCTTGTTTACTTACTTTTCACACTACATTAAGACTACAAATATTTTAAGGCAAGTAATGAGCGTAATGTATATACATACTGCTCTGGGGTGCTTTAAATGTATATTGTATGTGGGTGGGGTGGCCATACCTACCACACCTGACTACCATACCAACCATGCCTGACCTCTTGCAATAAATACTACTTACCTCTCACCTTACATTAAGAACATAAGAAAGGAGGATCACTGCAGCAGGCCAGTTGGCCCATACTAGGCAGGTCCTTTATAATCCATCCCACTAACAAAACATTTGCCCAACCTAATTTTCAATGCTACCCAAGAAATAAGCTCTGATAACTCTATCCACTCATTTGCAAGTCCCACTCAAATCCAACCCCTCTCATTCATATATTTATCGAACCTAAATTTGAAACTACCCAAAGTCCTAGCCTCAATAACCCAATTAGGTAGACTGTTCCACTCATCAACTACCCTATTTCCAAACCAATACTTTCCTATGTCCTTTCTAAATATTTTAAGTAATGAGTGTACTGTGTGTGTGTTTTACTTTAATTTTTTTTAATGCCTAGCTCTACTGCTAACTTAATATATGTTAGCATAAACTTGTTATGCATTAATAAGTGGAAAAAATGGCATTATATTTTCCGGTGATGTTCGCTTTCCAGCGGTAGCCTGGAACCTAACCTGCTGTATAAGTGGGGCCCGTCTGTACATGCAAAGCGCAGTTCAAGTCCCCATCCATTTTTTCTGGTTGTTCACAGTACCTACCTACCTGGAGTCTACCTCGAGGGTATTCCGGGGATCAATGCCTCCATGGCCTGGTCCATGACCAGGCCTCCCAGTGGATCAGGGTCTGATCAACTAGGCCATTACTGCAGGCTGCACGTAGTCCGACATACAAACCACAGCCTGGCTGATCTGGCACCAGATCCAGTACTAGATATATACAGGAAATAGTGGGAGGTTGCAAAATATATGGAAATATGTGTGTACAGTAAGTAAATCCAAAGGAATCGTTGGATGATTTTAAACTGTATCACATGTAGTCTCAAAGATATTAAAAATTACTGCCACTAAGATAATTTCGTCTTAAAAGTGTGAAGTAACTTATGTAAAGGAGATAAGCACTTTGTTATTGTCAATAAAAAAAAAAAATGGCTCACCAAGTACAGCCACAGCCTGTTGTGAAGATAGATCAACTTCTTTCTCTTCTGACTTATCTTTATCCTTTTCCTTATCTTTATCTTTGTCTTTATCCTTGTCTTTTTCCTTTTCTTTATCCTTCTTATCCTTAGATTTACTTTCCTCTTGGTCATAATGGTCTGTACAGATGTGCAGCATTTCCTGAACCTAAAATAAACAAAAGTCATTGACAAATTATCTATGGAGGGGATAAAGAGGACAGTGTTGGTCTGAATATTCAACAGGTTTGTGAGAGCACATTTGACTGGACTGAGTGGAAGGAAGTGGTTTTTGACTTGACATGCTGTTGGTGTGAGCAAGGCAACATTTAAGAAGGGATTCAAGAAAATCAGTTAGCCAAATTTGAGTCCTATGAAGTACAATGCCTGCACTCCGAAGGAGTGAAGCTGTAGAAGTTATAAGTGACATCTGAACTGATGTCTGCCTCCGTCTAGCAAAATAGCAACTGAAAGTAATGGCAACTGTTTTTTTTTTTTTTGTCACACTGCCTTAATAGGAGATGACTATCGTTAAAAAATCTAATAATGTGGTACACTGAGCTCTTGCATGAATCCTTATTTACACAATGTGGAAATTAGGATTTGTCATGGACTGCCATAACAAATTACAGGAAATCCCTGTTAGATAATTTTAATGCTCTTACACAGATGATCAATAACTAACCTTTAATACATTGCCAGAACCAGCATAAGCGCAGACCTCAATAAGAGTTGCAGTCATCTGGCGGAAAGGGGCTGGAAGGTTCTCGATACAGGAAAGAACAACTTCACACTTATCCTGACAACCTTACATAAACAAAATTAATATTAATATATATTTTTTTTCCAAGATAATTCTTCTATAAATTACAATTTAGGTAAAATATAAGTCCTGTACTACACATTTCATTAAGCCATTAATATTAGTAGTACATATACAAATTTAATTCTGCACTTAGTGATACTTCTCATATCCAAACTATGTGGGCTGAGACCGGTTTGGAAACGTGGAGATTCCGGATACGTGAGGAGGGAAAAAATGCACATCCGTACCGTCATATCGCCATCCATACCCTGTCATATTGCCATCCATACCCTGTCATATCACCATCGGCAATGGCATTGTAGGTTTAAAAAAACGAGTCCAACATCATCTGGTGGTAGGACCAGACATTCTGGGCTCAAATAACAGCTTCCCAGATTTCACGGACCACAGGACCATAACTTTTCAAATGGGCTGTGGACAGTGGATACTCCAAAAATGTTTTGACACCTGCCCTTGCTGCTGAAGTTTTTGGTCTTGGAGGCACTGGGTCGTGTCATCATCATCACTTTCAGATTGTTCCAGGTGCAACATTAATTTGCAATCTCTGCATCTGTTAGAGACTGCAAACCAGGGTCATCTTCATCACACTCTAGCCAGTCCTGCAAGTTGGCATTATGAACCATCATACCACTACCATGTTGTGGTAGGTACCACTTCACGCACTGAGTTCCAAGCTCTGTGGCTTCACCATCACTTTTCTTTCAGCACTTTTTCCAGTTTTTGAGGCGGCAGAAAACTCACTTGTGTAGGCCATAATCTTATCACGAGCTTTCTTGATATCACAGAAGGTGGCAAAGAGAGCTGCTTCTAGTAACCAACCGGTACACTAAAGTGCGCACTAAGTTTGATTTAGCCTTCTGCCATATCTGAATGGCAGTTTGGATGCTTCGATAATAATTTTAGAACATGCCCTTTCACAGGGCCTGTTCAGACACTGGCGAGGTTTGGATAATGACAGGCTGGATGTGCGAGGTATCGCTGTATATGTTAATTCAATACATTATGCATTAGAAAAGGCTAAATGAAAGTAGTTACTAAATTTATCATTATTTATAAAAATAATTCAAAATAAATTTTTCAATTCTACACGAACTTGTATAATACTTACCTAAATATGCCAGAGCCAGTCCCAAAGACATAAACCTTGAATATGTCTCCTTCAGTTCTGTCTCTGATTTGGCCAGGAGAGTTGTGACAAGAGCCTCCACTACCAATTGATTGGTGGTGCCTACAGCAATCATTCCACATGCTAGAGCAGTAATGCCTACAACCTCCAGAGAACTCTTCTCATCCGCCAAAACAGGTGTTAAGACTTTTAGAACTGCCTCCCTGTTGCTGCCAGCATATGCTAAACCCAAGCCTAAGATAGCACCAATTCGAATAACCTATAATTGGATAAATACTTTATTATTTTTCCACATAATGCTAATATGAAGAGCTAATCCTGCATGTTACATACTAGCAAGTACAAGATTGCTGTAACATCCCTAAATACTTCAAACACACTGTGAATCAAACCAAGCACACTCATGCACAAAGGACAAACCAATAAAACACTAATACAACCTACTTTTCTGATAAAATAAAAATAAAGCAATGAAATGCAAAGTGTAGGGAGGATTTTGGTAAAAAAGTATACATGTTATCCATTTACATTGAATTCAACTAATGCTCAGTAATTCCTTAATTTAAAAAATTTTGGAAATACAATAAACCCTCTTAACAGAAAAAGGTGATAGTTTTTACTAGGCCTGATTAAATTAATGGCATACTGTGAGCCATGAACAATCATTTCTGGTTAAATTTTATCTGAGAAATGGGAAAAATCTTCAATTTTTTGTGATGTAACCAAAATGGAAGGTAAGTGTAAAATGTAGACACCTGGGAACATGATTAATAAACAGAGGAAAGGTTGCTTTAGTGCCTGGAATGTCTAGTGCTTATTTTGGACTTTCTAAATTGGAATTTTATATAAAATTGGCGAAATTGACAACTTCTGTGCACTTTATAAGATAATTCTGAAAGCTGAATAGACAGTTTCTTGTGCTAAATTAACAAAACAGAAGGCACACTAGAAAAATAGCCAAGCTATAGGTCAATTACAGCAATAGAACTAGCTTAATAGAGGACTCAATGGGCAAAATCACTGACGTGTAAACTATGCACAAACTGCTAACTTGGCACCTGTGTAATTCCACAAACATTCCATCAAATTTCGTACTTTTAGGGTTATCTTTGGATTTTTTTGTTAAATGTGGATACTAAGCACTTTTTATTTTGGGGCTTTGGACAGTGAAGGGGTATAACTTATTTTTATTTTTTTTAACATGTCTGCCATTTCCCACCAAGGCAGGGTGACCCAAAAGAAAGAAAAACCCAAAAAGGAAGGAAAACTTTCTTTATCAGTCAACACTTTCACCATCACTCATACACAATCACTGTCTTTGCAGAGGTGCCCAGATACGACAGTTTAGTCACTCCAAACTGCCAATATCCCAAACCCCTCCTTTAAAGTGCAGGCACTGTACTTCCAATTTCCAGGACTCATGTCTGGCTAACCAATTTCCCTGAATCCCTTCACAAAATATTACCCTGCTCACACTCCACCAGCTCATCAGGTCCCAAAAACCATTTGTCTCCATTCACTCCTATCTAACACTTTCATGCAAGCTTGCTGGAAATCCAAGTCCCTCACCCACAAAACCTCCTTTACCCCCTCCCTCCAACCTTTTCGAGGATGACCCCTACCCCACCTTCCTTTCCCTACAGATTTATATGTTCAAGTCATTCTACTTTGATCCATTCTCTCTAAATGACCAAACCACCACAACAACCCCTCTTCAGCCCTCTGGCTAATACTTTTAGTAGCTCCACACCTCCTCCTCCTAATTTCCATACTACGAATTCTCTGCATATTTACATCACACATTGCCCTTAGACAGGACATCTCCACTGCCTCCAGCCACCTCCTCCCTGCAGCATTTACAACCCAAGCTTCACACCCATATAAGAGTGTTGGTACACTATATTCTCGTACATTCCCTTCTTTGCCTCCATGGAAAACGTTTTTTTGACTCCACAGATACCTCAACGCACCACTCGCCCTTTTTCCTTCATCAATTCTATGGTTAGCCTCATCTTTCATAAACCCATCTGCAAGTCAACTCCCAAATATCTGAAAACATTCACTTCTTCCATATTCCCTCTCTCCAATGTGATATCCAATTTTTCTTTATCTGAATCGTTTGATACCCTTATCACCTTACTCTTATGTATGTTCACTTTCAACTTTCTACCTTTACACACTTTCTGAAATTCATCCGCTAACCTTTGCAACTTTTCTTTAGGATCTCCCAAAAGCACAGTACATATCAATAGAGAGTAACCTTGTCACCTCCCGTTTTGCATTTGATTCCCCATAATTTAATCCCACCCCTCTCCCCAACACCCTAGCATTTACTTCTTGTACAACCTCATCTATAAATACATTAAACAAACATTGTGTGATTACACATCCCTGTCTAAGACCTACTTTTGCCAGGAAGTAGTCTCCCTCTCTCCTACACACCCTAACCTGAGCCTCACTATCCTCATAAAAACTTTTACAGCACTTAGTAGCTTACTACCTATTCCATATATTTGCAACATCTGCCACACTACTCCCCTATCCACTATCATATGCCTTTTATAAATCCATAAATGCCATGAAAACTTCCCTACCTTTATCTAAATACTATTCACATATATGCTTCAATGTAAACATTTGATCTACACATCCCCTACCCACTGTAAAGCCTCCTTGCTCATCTGCAATCCTACTCTCTGTTTTACCTCTAATTCTTTCAATAATAACCCTACTAACCCCTTCTCCTATATAAATTACTAAATTTAAAAAGAAACTTTCGTTTTTCTTTTGGGCAACCCTGCCTTGGTGGGATACAGCCGGTTTGTTTAAAGAAAAAGAATAACCCTACTGTACACTTTACCTGGTATACTCAGTAAACTTACTCCCCTATAATTTTTACAATCTCTTTTGTCTTCCTTCCCTTTATATAAAGGAACTATGCATGCTCTCTGCCAATCCCTAGGTACCTTCCCCTCTTTCATACATTTATTTAACAAAAATACCAACCATTCCAACACTATATCTCTCCCTGCTTTTAACATTTAAGTCTTGATCCCACAGTTCCAGCTGCTTTACCCCCTTTCATTCAATGTAATGCCTCACACACCCCCACACTCACATCCAGCTTTAAATATTCAGTACAAGTATCAAATAAAGTCAAAATCATTGCACATTTTACTTTATCACTTTCTAGAGAATTACCGTGCATCACACTTACCATGGTTTTATGTCCAATGTAATCAGAAAGAAGAGCAAGAGCTGGATCACATTCATTCCTCACTCCACTGTTGACAATACCGCAAGCCAAGAGCGCCCCAGATTTGATGAAATCCTCCGATGAATATAAATACTTATCAATCTGTGTCAGCCCACCATCAACATCCCATAAGAGTATTAAACCCAATGATGCTGTTGCACTTAACATACCTGTTGAACAAAAAATAATTTTAGCTATTACCCACCACCAATTTATATTTACTTTCCCCTCATTTTCTTGCTCTCTCTTACATCTTAGAAACACTATTTGGATAGTGTGAAACAATTTCGCCACCTTCAAACTGAATTTCAATGGTTACTACTTTCCCTTGATCTCCTTTTTCTATTTCCCTTACATGATTTTCTTTTTTTTAGTGAATATTTTGTAATACCTATAATCTTTAGTAGAAAATCTACATTACCCATTTTAACAAACACAAAGCATTTTTCATCATTTTTCATCCCTATGCATTTATCCCCCTGTTGCTGTCGCTATTAACCCCTTCTCCTGTATACGTACAGTAAAGAAACTTTTGTTTTTCTTTTTAGGTAAACCACAAGCTAGTCAACTTGGTATTGCAGCAAGTATATTTAATAACTGTTGCTTAATCAGTGCAATTAAATATAAAAGTACAGTAATTATTCTTGGTGAAATGAAGCATGCCATACCCTATATAATTAGTAAATGATTGATAAAGAAATGCATGTTTTCATTTCTAAACCATCAGCATGGATAAGTAAATTATTTATGAAATAAAAATACAACTACTGATTTGTGTCCTAGAAATTAGCCTGGTATGAAATATATAACACCAATCTTTCATTCAGCACAAGTTTCTCAATAACATACCATTCAATACTTACCGTGCTCTTTATTTTTATAGAGCCACTTATTCCCATCTTCAGTAAGGAGTTTGTCTGTACCAAAGGCTGCATTAACAAAGCCATTTACAAATGATGAAGCAAGGTTTTGACGAGCTGAATCTACCTGGCCTGGGCCAAAGGTAGGACGATTGTTTTCTAAATGAGATTTGTATATGTCCTCTGGAGTTTTGGGATCCATGATATCCAACTGAAACAAAACAATTAAAAGTTTATATATAGGTGGGAGACGGCCTTCGTTTTAAAAAATAAAATAAATCAAAGGTACAGTATACACTATAAAATAAATAAGAAACAGATGGGAATTCAAGATTATATATTGATGTAATTACACCTTCAGGAACATATGCAATCACAGTATCAGGACATGTCAATATACCTTTAGGCATCAGTTGTGTGCACATGTCAACATTTAAATCAATACTGGATATGGAGCTAGCTTCTACTTTTTCATCTAATGCATTCCACTTATTCACTGCCCTCGAACCAGAAATTCATCCACTGTTTGTATAAATTTTGCCATGTGTGTGTTCAATTTTCCATTTAAGTGCACTATATAGTATAGGTTCATAAAAACACGATTGCATAACAAACCATGGTACGGGTGGGGTTACAATTCACTTGCCACGAGTTCTAATCCCACCCGTACCATGGTTTATATGGCATGGGTTTGCACAATAACCAATCTTCTTTAATTTACCATGAGTACTTTGAAAGTTAATAGCTGCTGCGACTCCCCTTGAATTACATTCCAGCTATCCACAATGCTGCAGAGTAGCCCTACCTATTATCTTTTCTGAACCACTTTCACAACTTGAAACTGACATGCTTTTTTGTCATTTGAGAACATGCTCTCCATTCCTACACCTGTTTCATGTCTGCTAGACAAGGGAAGAACTCCAAGCTGTGCTCAATTTCCTGAAACAGAAGATGGGCTCTCACTCTGGAAGGTTTTGTTTTTAGACTAGAAATATCTGAGGTCATAAGTCAGCATTTTCCTGGGCACCCAGCCACTGAAGCAGAATTGTCTGCAAGGTACTATTCGGTGCCCCATTACATTAACCCCTTCCCTGAATCGCTTCATAAATGTTATCTTGCGCATATTTCAAAAGGAGTCGTAAAAAACCACTTGTCTCCATTTGCTCCTAACATGCTGATTGCCTATGGTTAAATTTCACAGACACTATGACCTGCATGGGTTTAGTGCTTCCCTAACTCAAGCTCATAAAACTCAGGCTCCTTAACTTCCCCCCTCCCTTCCTCCAACTGTTCCTGGGACAACCCTTACCCTTCCTATTTTCCATCTCAGATTTACACACCCTCTTGGTCATCCTATCCCTTTCTATCCTTTTTACATGTCCAAACCACCTCAACAACCCCCACCTCAGCCCTCTAAATTATACCCTTAGTTACCTCACACTGTCTTTTAACCCTTAAACGGTCCAAACAAATCGACGTTCAAATTCGTAGTGCTACAAAAGTAGATCTACTTTTTTTTAACATTTTCATATGTAACAAAAAATAAAATGTAGATAAAAGTTTTTTTACACGTTTTCAAATGTAAAACAAAAAAGAAGATCTACTTTTTTTAAATACTTTCATATGTTGTAGGTAGTAGGTTGGTAGACAGCAACCACCCAGGGAAGTACTACCATCCTGCCAGATGACTGTGAAACAGAAACCTGTAACTGTTTTGCATGATGGTAAGATTGCTGGTTTCTTTTTCTGTCTCATAAACACGCTAGATAACAGGGATATCTTGCTACTCCTACTTACGCTTTGGTCACACTTCACAGACACGCACATGCATATATATATACATACATCTAGGTTTTTCTCCTTTTTCGAAATAGCTTTTGTTCTTCTTTATTTCTTCTATTGTCCATGGGGAAGTGGAAAAGAATCTTTCCTCCGTAAGCCATGCGTGTCGTATGAGGCGACTAAAATGCCGGGAGCAATGGGCTAGTAACCCCTTCTCCTGTAGACATTTACTAAAAAAGAGAAGAAAAACTTTATAAAACTGGGATGCTTAAATGTGCGTGGATGTAGTGCGGATGACAAGAAACAGATGATTGTTGATGTTATGAATGAAAAGAAGTTGGATGTCCTGGCCCTAAGCGAAACAAAGCTGAAGGGGGTAGGGGAGTTTCAGTGGGGGGAAATAAATGGGATTAAATCTGGAGTATCTGAGAGAGTTAGAGCAAAGGAAGGGGTAGCAGTAATGTTAAATGATCAGTTATGGAAGGAGAAAAGAGAATATGAATGTGTAAATTCAAGAATTATGTGGATTAAAGTAAAGGTTGGATGCGAAAAGTGGGTCATAATAAGCGTGTATGCACCTGGAGAAGAGAGGAATGTAGAGAGAGAGATTTTGGGAGATGTTAAGTGAATGTATAGGAGCCTTTGAACCAAGTGAGAGAGTAATTGTGGTAGGGAACCTGAATGCTAAAGTAGGAGAAACTTTTAGAGAGGGTGTGGTAGGCAAGTTTGGGGTGCCAGGTGTAAATGATAATGGGAGCCCTTTGATTGAACTTTGTATAGAAAGGGGTTTTGTTATAGGTAATACATATTTTAAGAAAAAGAGGATAAATAAGTATACAAGATATCATGTAGGCGAAATGACAGTAGTTTGTTGGATTATGTATTGGTAGATAAAAGACTGTTGAGTAGACTTCAGGATGTACATGTTTTATAGAGGGGCCACAGATATATCAGATCACTTTCTAGTTGTAGCTACACTGAGAGTAAAAGGTAGATGGG